GGGAAAGAAAATTAAAAGGTGCGCTGGCTGTTTGTTGAGAGATAGAGGTGTAAAGGAGACAAAAATAATAAAGGGGAGAAAAATGATAATTATATGTATAATTGTATGCATAATTATACAAACGTAAATGATCTATTAATATTTTCTCAAAAAATTTATCTATTAATGGGGGAAAAAGACGTTGTTTAAGAACCGGTGGATTATAACTTGTCGTTTCTCTGGAGGTTATAAGATATTTCGGTTACAATTAGCATTTATCCGTATATTTGAAGATAATATGTAAAAAAATACCATGTGATTTTAAAAATACTATTCCAAAGATGAGATATATAACAACTATTATCATGGTGTTTATCAAAAGTAATCGGAAGGTTGTTAAGCCAGAAAATTAGAGAAAACGCCAATTAGGACTAGATATTCCTGGGTAATCATGCAGATTGGCACTTGATTTATTCCGGGGTAATCATGAAGATTAGCACTTGATTTCTTCAGGAATGTGATATAGGCATTATCCTCTTGCCCCGCCCTTGTCTCTCTTGAAAAAGGCAAACGTAGAGTTTATTCCTTCAAAGTATAGTTATCTCTTTTCTTTACCCTTTTTCTTTTTTCTTTTTTTGACACATAGTTGAAGTGTTAAACCTCCCCTTCGGTGGGAAACTTTTATAGGGGATATACTTGCTTTATGGCAAAGCAGCAATAACCTCAAATTTAAATAAAACACAATATATAGCTTTAGTTCCAAACTCATCAACACCATTCGTACGGGACACATTAATATGTAACCTAGGTTATAATAATGACACTTTTTATAATAAAGAATTTTTATTTTTTTGGTTCTCGCAATCCTTTATCATGAGGATGAACGACCAGCTAGTGCTACAACGCCAGAGGATGCTATTAATTAAAATGATAATGGTAATAATTAAGATGGTGGTGATTTTAAACAAGATATTAATTATTTGAGAAAAAGGGCTATATATGTCACTTGTACAAGCCAATGGAACTTCGTAGTCGACAATATCTCCTCCATGCATGGATTTGTAGTTAGAAAACTTTAATTAAATAGAGGGTAGACCTGTTTCGGAATAACAATGATAATATATGGTGATATATATATATATATATACATATTATCGTATATCTCTTATAACTTTTACTCAAGTTATTTCTTTTACGAATTATTTAATTAAGTTACTTGGAGGATTTATACATGCCCCATTTTAATGTTTGTGACAAATTAATAATAGAACTTTACTGATATTTCTTCGGATTTCGACCCCTCTTTCTTTTAGCACATGGCCTTTCAACAAAAAATGCAAAAAGTGGATAGCTTTTGACCAGCGAATCAACCAACAGCACGTGTATTGATACTCCTACATAATTAAACGAGTAGTTTCAAACCCGATGAGATTTCCCAAATATTGGTGCCTTGGTGGTGAGTCTTGCCAACTTTTGCTTTTTTTCTTTTTGCCTTAACCCATGTGGCTATTTAACCTTACGTTAGATAATTAAATAAAATCTGTTTTTGGATTATTCCATTGAGATTTGAGAGTCATTCGTAGCAATCTTAAAGAAATGAGTGTCCTGCAAGCTAGCTTTTGATGTTGCATGCAAGGAAAATTATTAAAATCGGACATAAAAAAGAAGTTTTAGCGTAAGATCAATTTTTTTTTTTTTTTTTTTCTCTAGACAATAGAATTAAGGGAGCGCCCACCATGTAAAGAAAACTTTTTCCTGGGTCTTTTATTTTTATTTTTATTTTTTATTATAAAACATTCTTGATAAATAGTATCTTAAAATGTATAGTACATGTTTTCGTCAAATCAAATATAGATACGTTTCTTCATGAATTTTTAGCAAAGCATTATATTATACAAAAATAATGGTTTTTTCTTCTCATGATTTCTTTTCTTTTTCTTTTTTTTGATAAGATACACTAAGAATATTTGGGCATATTGAAAGAAATCTCATATAGAAGAATCTTATTAGCTGCGTGGCCGATTGGCTGTGATGCTCCTTATCCGTAATAGAACCAAATGTTAGGATTGTGCTAATTCCATTGCGGTAAAATCAACCTTCTAAATTCTAACCAATCAAGTGAAAAATATACATGTATATATATGTGTATATATATATATATAACATGCACAAGGGGTTCGTTTGGTAAGTATTGCTTCATAAAAAAGAAATACAGAAACGTTAATATATTTCTGAAGTGTTTGGTAGAACAAATAATATGTAAAAGTATTAAGAAAGTTATGAACAATAAAATTTATGATATCATTTATTCTGTAATTTATAGCTAGCTAGTTTAACAGGGTTTTGATGACTGTTATTATAAAAAAAAGAATATGTTCTACAACTACTTGACTTTGGATGTTGGTTGTGTGATCAGAATTAGTTGAGAAATTTATGACGTGTTTGGAACTCGTTCTAAAATGATAGAAATTATTTTTAAAAATGCGTTTGGTAGTTTTATCAAGAGATTGTTTTTAGTATAAAAAACCCATTAATGTCTCTCTTTCTCTATCTCTGCTCGAGAGAGGAGAAAATGAAAATAAAAAATGAAAAATGACTAAAAGTCATTTTTCATTTCTCTCATTTTACACTAAATCAAAAAATCGTTTTCATTTCCATTTTTTGTCTTTATTGCGTCAAACGCCGTTTTAAAAACGTTTTAATTTTTTCTTTCTCGAAAAACGTGAAAAATAAAAATGAGATCAATTCTAAACATGACCCTAGCTTTTCTTTTATAATTAACAAAACAGTAAAAACTAATTATAAATTGACCGTAACAAATCAAAGTTTAAATTATATGCTTTAAGTAATAAAGCAAAATACAAGCATAAGTATATACCATTCTTTAAAAAGAAATAACAAATTAATAGGACAAGACTACACAAGTACTAATTATTATATCTTTGATTAATTCTACCAATTTATTATTATTATTATTATTTAAGTGATAATTAGGGAATTTCAACTTTAAACCTCATTATTGAAAGGAGTATGGATTTATTAAGTTATGCATGTAGCGACCTTAAAAAAAAAAGGTTGATGATATGTTGCCTTTTATGATTTGGCGAATCTGTCAATTTGTGAAATTTGGATGCCATCTGTTCCCTCTTCCACTATCCATAAACTAAATAGGTAGACAGAGAATATATAGGATTATAAGACTGGTCCTAAAACTCTCAATATTTAAATGCACTTTATAACCCCTCTTTCGAATAACTTTAAGCTAAGATTTAACTTTGCACCTTATTGTGCCTAACTTTGAATTCAACACAATTAATTAGTATTAACTACTTGAGTTAGCTAAACGCTAATCATAGACACATGCTCTATATAAACCCTTCTCTATACTTCCAAGTTCCTCAGAGCTAGACATAGCCAAGCACATAGTACTTACTACTTTACAACTTTTCCTCTTTTAGGACATTGATCATCCTTTTCATACAAACATCCTTAAGTACTACTCTATATACCATGTTTTGCTCTACGACTTATAAGAATATTTCATACAAGAGCGTGCAAAATCATAGCCCGAAACCTGCGGTGTACGACAAAGAAAAGTTGAAAAGCGTGATTAGACGCTACGACACCGACGGCGACGGTAACCTAAGCAGGAAAGAGCTTAAAAAAGCATTCAAAGAATTGGGTGCTACTGCTCCCGGATGGCGAGCTATTCGAGCCCTTTGTCACGCCGACAAGAATAGAGATGGCTTCATTAGCGAGGAGGAGTTGGCTAATCTTGTCCACTACGCCGCCCAAAGAGGATACGTCCTTTAATTAGTTTCGGGCTAATTAAAGCTTCTAATGTCCTGTGAAATTAATACAATCGGACAGCCATAACTTTTGTGACCTTTACTTAATAGGTATGATGTTAGTCACGTAAAGAGAGTGTTTGCTTATATCCTAGGCTAGCTAGTGTTCTTGTATGTATCTGCCAAAGCCTAGAAAGTGATCAGAAGAAAAGGTTCTGTAATTTTGCTTTCTTGTAATAAGTTTTTGGTTTTTGAGGCGTATATGTATGTAGTGGCCGCAGTTACATGCAGTGTTGATATCTAACGAATTGGGTTTGTAATTGAATTCTGTAGTCTCTCAGATGTGTTTTTACTTTTCATCTGGTCTTTTGCGGTGTTAATTCATGAAATGTAATTTTTCTCCTGTCAAATTCCTCTTCACTAATCAAAAGTAATATCGGCCGATAAAGAAAAATTAGTTGCACTTTTATCCCTTGAATAAATTCATGATTCCCTCCTCTCCCGACACTACAAACTTAAACATTATATTTAACGTCTCTTAATAGACGACGGTTTATATAATAACCGTCGTCTATACTACTGATAAAAAGTCCACTAACTGGCGCAGAATATTAGACGACGCTTTACTAAAAAACCGTCGTAAAAAAATTTACTTTTAACAACTGTTTTACATAAAACAATCATCTAATCTGAACGTGGAGTTTGAAATGTTAACTTTGAACCCAATTCAGATCCCTCATAATCCTCGTGCCGCACTTTCTCTCTATTTCTCTCTCCCTCTCCCTTCTTCGCGACCTCCGTAGATCTCCGCTTGTCGTTCCTCCGTCATCGACCTAGCCTCTCTCTCAACCATTGCCCCTCTCTCTGTTGCTCTCCCTCTCTCACAAATGTCGCTCCTCTTTCACAAGCATCAGCCGCCACTACCCGTTGCTCCTCCGCCACCAACATCGACCGCTGCTAACAACCGTCACTCTCTCTCCATCGCTCCTCTGTCTCTGTATAAACATCGGTTGAAATGTTGATTTTAACGTTATTTTTATTTAAAAGTTATTTTTAGGTTAATTGTTTAAATGATAGTTTATATTATTTCTTTTAATAATAAATTTATTTTTTTTTATCATTTATTAGTGTGTTACGTTGTTGGAAGGCCCAAATAAGGTTTGAGTTTGAACACAGTGAGAATGGGTTAACGAAATTTCTCATACTAAAAGTAAGTGTTCATAATTTTGCTCATTAAATTGCTTACGGCATACCTAAATGAATGAATGGGCGCATTTTGTAAAAAGACATATGTAACTTATTGTACTTTGATTTGAAAATGTAATATTTGTTTATGTTATATGACCTGTGTTAATTGTGGCCAAAATACTAATAACACAGGATTAATAGGCTAACCCGTGAAAAAAGTAATAAAACAACACCAATTTTTTAGTGCATATTGTAAATGTAACGACGGTTTCTTAAAAAAAACCGTTGTTATATGTTTATCTGTAACGATGGTTTCTTAAGAGATCGTCGTGTAATGTAATCCAAAATGCATATTATAGGCATATTTCAGGACCAGTTTAGATGACGGTTTTTTATGAAACTATCATCTAAGATTTGATTTTAACGACGGATAAAAGCCATCGTTAAAGTGCAGATGCATTTAACGACTTATGATTAGACGACAGTTTACCTAACCGTCATCTAATCCTTTAACGTCGGTTTTTAATTGTTGTTAAATCTACGATATTTACTAGTGCGATGAATGAAACAAGTGATGTTAATATTATATTACGGACTAATAAACTAACTGTACAGCATGTTTTTTTTTTTATGGGGAGGACTAATGTGGGGCTGCTTTTACACTGTGAGGGCATAAATGTCTTTTTATATATTATATTATTTGTTGCACGGTAATTTCGTTTAAAAAAAGTTACATGTGCCTACATGTATGCCTTAATTCACTTCGTTTTTTTTTTTATGGGGAGGACTAATGTGGGGCTGCTTTTACACTGTGAGGGCATAAATGTCTTTTTATATATTATATTATTTGTTGCACGGTAATTTCGTTTAAAAAAAGTTACATGTGCCTACATGTATGCCTTAATTCACTTCACGGATTTGAGTTATCAATTTAAATTAAGATGTGATATTTTTTGAAAACTTTTTAACTGTAATAAAAAAAATTATATGTGATATTTTTTAAAAACTTATAAAAAATTAAAACTGAAAATTCATAAAAGAGGTAAATAGTAAAAGATTATTTTGGTCCCATAACACATAATTGTTCATTTTTCCTTTACAACTGACACAAAAGTAATTAGGTGCCCATGTGGGGCTGCTTTTACTCCTGTAAGAGCATAAATGTCTTTTTATATTTTAAGAGCATAAATGTACAGTATTAAGTGAACTCGCTTGCACAAAATTAAGTTATATTCGCGTGAGTGTTGATACTACTAGCATGTATGTTTGTATTCAAAATACCAAAGCAAAGTTTATTCCTAAATAGTATTTTATCCTTTTTCTTTTTAACTCGTACATATATGATTCCGTTGAATAGGCAGCTTTTGGGGATATACTTGTTTAGTGATAAAGCAGCAATACTTCCTCAATTACTCAACAAAATATCCTCCATGTATTCCCAAGCGTTTGGAGCTGCAAGGCTTAAAACTAAGGTTTAGGGAGTAAAGCAGTTATATAAAACGACAACAATAATAATATAGTTATCCGTAAACTCGATCGCGTTGACATATAATATTAGCAGCAACAGTTGATTCATTTTTTCTAAAAAAAAAATATTTTTTACTCGAAGGATTGATTCTGATATGCAATAATTGTTATATTATATTCTCTGTTGACGTTTTGTTACTGACATATATATTCTCTCCTCTTCCTTTTCAATATGTTCTCCTTTCATGCAAATTAAGTATCAAGATAAATGATATATTAGTCATATCTTGGTACTCAGAGAAATGAGTCTTGGTTATTTTTCCACATAAGCAATAAAGCAGGGGCAGTCAATATCTTTGTCCACAAGTTTTGACCAGACAAATTAATCAGAACCTTGCCTACTTTTACCAAATAAATTAATTACCACGTAATTGAATTGTATTAACTGAAATAATTATAAATATATTTTGTGATGGTATTGTTATTACATTGTAAATAAATTATGAGGGAGAATAACTGATATAGATAAAACTACCACATCCAACTAGATCGGTACTCTTCTAGATTGGGACTCATCATTTGAAATATTCCCCTCCCTTACCAAATTTACCTCTTCAAAACCGTGTGAGTAAAAGGATTTTTATGCTTAATACCGATGGTCTTTCCAAGCATTTTTTAAAAACCGACCGTGTGGTTTCAGAAAACTCTCATCTAACATCTAAAAACCCTGTGTACCGTGTGAGTAAAAGGATTTTTAGTACAATTGCTCCTGAATTTATCATGGTTTAGCAAATTGCACCCTTAAAATTTTAATTTTTGAAAATCAGCCCCCTAAATTTGTAAGATTGTTGCAATATAATATTCATGACTTGTCGTCGCTAATACTATAATATTTGCGATGACAATGTCGTCACAAATTAATAAAATGTCGTCGCAAATACTAAAATATTTGCGACGATATTTTCTCGCTGCAAATATTTTAAAGTCGTCGCAACTAATGCTTTTTTCCCGTGCCTACTTTATCGTCAAATAAGATTATTTGCGACGACAGTAAAAAAATATCGTCGCAAATAAGGTAAAATTATTTGCGACGATGAATGTCGTCGCAAATAGTCATGACTTGTCGTTGCAAAAAAACGGATTATCTTGGCGCCAATAATCCGCGCCATTGAAAATTGCGCGCCAACATTTTTTGCGACGACAATGAAATTATTAGCGACGACATTGTTATTTTATTTAACGGACGGTATTTGCGACGACATGTCGTTGTAAATAGTGTATTATTTGCGACAACAAATGTCGTCGCAAAAAATGTCGTCGCAAATGGGCTTAATTGTTGTAGTGAATGTGCCCCATTTTACTACATTTGCTCAAATTTTTTGGTAGATTTAAGGGATTATAAATTGAGAAATTGAAAGATTTGTCTTACATTTGAATTAGTATATTGGAATTTTTCATTGAACATGCTTTTTCATCACTAATTTAACACAATCATTCACAAAATGAAGTATATTGTAATAATTTTATAAATTTAAAAGATAACTTGTCAAAATTAAAAGTTTAAAGAGTCAAGTTGCTAAAATTCGATCACAGTACACATATATAAAATAGCCCGAATAAAAACTCATGTACATGCAGTACTAAGTGAACTCCTTATAATTACATATAATGAATTCATATTCGTGCCAATGTTGAGACTACTAGCAAGTGTACGTACTTGTATTCATTCTATTGAACAAATTTGGAGAGAGTAAAATGATCGCTGAAAATATAATTAGGTTTAAGTTAAATCAGTTCCTGCAATGACGAGAATGCTAATGTGAACAGTTGATCATCTAAATTCTAAAAATGCGTGTTTAGATAATTAATACAGATGTCCTTAACAGTCCCGTAGCAACCAAATAATTTGGTAGTCAATTCATCACCATGTATCTAGACTAACCGGACTTCAAATTTCGGGAAGGTGTATCGGCTATGTTCATATGTCTTGTCTTCTTTTTCCACCATTTTCTTGTTTCAAATTAGAGTAGTGATATAGTTTATTCTTAAATAGAAATTTGTCCTGTTTTTAAACTATTTAGGATTAAACTTCGCTTTTTCGCCTTTTGAATATGCAGCTTTGGGGATATATACTTGCATTGTAACAAAGCAACAATACTTCCTTGATCATGCGTTTAGTTGGTGGATTCGTGTCATAGTTCAGATCATAATTCGTGATTGTATTTGTTATCACAAAAAGTATACGTAAATCGATAATAATTTTAAATTATGATTCTGAATTTATGAACCAAACGTCATGCAACAAGAAACAAAACAACTTAAAGAAATCCGAAGCAGATCGATAACTAGAAATTGAATGAGGAACTTCTA